CCCCACCCCCCCTTACCCTTTAGTAACCATAAGTTTGTTTTCTAGGCCTGTGAGTCTCTTTCTGTTTTGTAAATAAGTTCATTTATATTGGTTTTTTTTTTAGATTCCACACAGAAGCGATATCATATGATATTTGTCTTTGTCTGGCTTACTTTACTTAGTATGATGATCTCTAGGTCCATCCATATTGCTGCAAATGGTATTATTTCATTCTTTTTTATGGCTGAGTAATATTCCATTGTATAAATATACCACATCTTCTTTATTCATCTGTCGATGGACATTTAAGTTGCTTCCATGTCTTGGCTACTGTAAATAGTGCTGCAATGAGCACTGGGGTGCATGTACCTTTTCGAATTATAGTTTTCTCTAGATATATGCCCAGGAGTGGAATTGTAGGATCATATGGTAGCTCTATTTTTAGTTTTTAAAGGAAACTCCATAATGTTCTCCATAGCAGCTGTACCAATTTACATTCCCACCAACAGTGTAGGAGGGTTCCACTGTAGTTTAGATTTGCATTTCTCTAATTAGCAATGTTGAGCATCTTTTCATGTGGTTTTTGGCCATCTGTATGTCTTCTTTGGAAAAATGTTTATTTAGGTCTTCTACCCATTTTTTCATTGGGTTGTTTGGTTTTTTGATACTGAGCTGCATGAGCTGTTTGTATATTTTGGAGATTAATCCCTTGTCGGTTGCATTGTTTGCAAATACTTTCTCCCATTCTGTAGGGTGTCTTTCTTCATTTTGTTTATGGTTTCCTTTGCTGTGCAAAAGCTTTTAAGTTTAATTAGATACCATTTGTTTGTTTTTGTTCTTATTTCCATTACTCTAGGAGACGGATCCAAAAAGATATTACTGCGACTATGTCAAAAAGCATCCTGCTTATGTTTTACTCTAGGAATTTTATACTATCTGGTCTTACATTTAGGTCTTTAATCCATTTTGAGTCTACTTTTGTGCATGGTGTTAGAGAATGTTCTAATTTCATTCTTTTACATGTAGCTGTCCAGATTTCCCAGCACCACTGATAACACTTCTGAGCACCAACAAGGTCACAAGACCCAGCCTAGCCAATCAATGTATTCCATGCCACTAGACACAGTGACTGGCTCAGAACAGGACACCGTAAATGGGCCAACAGGAAGAAAGGAATGCTGAACCTGAGATTGTGACAAAAAACCAGAATCGTTAAAGGGGGCCAAAATGGTCCCAGATTGATACTCAACCCTAGCTACACTTGTAGTAGAAACAGACACAAATCTTAGGAGGATGAGATCTCCAGTTTAGGTCCATAGGATTCTCATCAAATAAGAGCAACAAAATAAATGATCAGGGTCAAGGTCAGTGTCAGAGTTGTTCTTCAAGATTCAGCTCAGAATAGTTTTAAGCAGAAACGATGGACAAAATACATATCACATCCTCATATAATTTCACTATAACAACAAGAAAGTAAGTACCAAAGGGGCTGTAAAAAACGCTATTGGTAATTTGATAGGGATTGTCAGTTAATTTAGACAATATCCCGTCAAGCAGACCGTCTCTAGAATAAAGAAATACCGTATCTTTCAAACATGGCATATCTTGTCTCTTAGAACTCAGAAGTAGAGATACATATTTATGAAGGGCTCCTCCTATTTTAAATAAAGATTATACAGAAACCTCTTCAAATGTAAAATTCATATCATCCTCTGAAGTGGACATCTGCAATTTTCCTGCCCAGAATTCATTTTCCATCCTTCTGATACTGAACAGTACCAGAGTTTTCTTGGGAGAATCTACTCATTCAGCCCATTGGCTGGTTGGAGAACCACTGGGAGAGACAGAAAGGTTGATGAAACCTGGACTTCACTCATGAGGAGTGCACAGGTACTGGCTTGCCCCCAGGCAGGTAAGACAGAGGTCTGCCCCAGCAGCTGCTGGGTTTCCAGCAGCCACCTCACATCACTCCCCAACCTGAGTGAAGTGAACGCCCCAGCACAGCTCACTCCATGCCACCGTGTGGCACTGAATCTAGGGCAGCAGCTCAGGGGAAAAGACTTGACCTTGGGATGCAGAGGTGACCCGGTTCTGGGGCAGAGCCAAGGTAGAGCAGCAGTGCTGACTGCTGGTGTTTACTCAAGCAGCACCCCAGAAACAGCCCAGACTTCTGACAACAGCACAGCCACTGGGTTTCCCCGCGACCACCTCGCTATGTACGCCAGCCCAAGCTGAGTGTGGCTCACTCCATGCCATACCACAGGTCTATATCTGGAGCAGCCACGACCTGGGAAAAAATGTGACGAACACAGGCAGAGCATTGGACTTCTGTAGGTACACAAGCCCTCCTTTGGGGCAAAGGTCCTGGTGCAGGGAGAAGGAAAAACAATTAAAAACAGAGCCAGCATGAGCCCAACCCTCAGGGCTTCTACTCCAGCAGCTTGGGATCAGAACCCGCTGTGACTGGGTTGTGACAGCCATGCAGCAGAGAGGAAGTCCTGCCTCACAGCCTGTGCAAGTTCTAGCCCCTCCATCTCCAGCCCCACCTCCTCCAAGGTGATAGCTGCCAGCAACACTGAAGAAAGGCATGACTGGTGTCCACATCAAATCCATCCCTCCCACCAAAGGCACTGAGCACATACAGTCTACAGAGAAAAACTCCCATGTAAGAACACCTCTTCAAGACCATAACAGGTAACTGTTTGATTTAAATTCAAGGAGGCAGAGAAAGTTAAGTAAAACAAAAAGGCAGAGAAACTGCCCTCAATTGAAAGAGCAAGGGAAAAAACCCTGAAAAACAAACAAATAAAAATAAGCAATTTACCAGATAAAGAATTCAAATCATTGGTAATAAAAATGTTAACTGAACTAGGAAAAATAATTGATCTAAACACTGATCATTTTAACAAGGAAAGAGAAAATATAAAAAAGACCTCATCAGAAATGAAAAATTCAATAGTTGAAATTTAAAAACACACTAGAAGGAATGAATAGCAGACTAAGTGATACAGAAGAATGCATAAGTGACCTAGAAGATAAAATAATGTAAATCATCCAATCAGAACAGCAGAAAGAAACACAAATTTAAAAAAAAAAAGCAACCTATGAGATCTTTAGGATAATATTAAGTGTGACAACATTCACATTATAGGGTTTCCAGAAGGAGAAGAGAGAGAAAAGGGGATTGAAAATGTATTTGAAGAAATTAGGCTGAAAACTTCACAAATCTAGAAAAGGAAACATATATCCAGGTACAGGAAGCACAGAGGGTCCCAAACAAGATGAACCCAAACAGACCTATAGCAGGACACATCATTCTTAAAATGGCAAAAGTTAAAGATAAAGAGAGAATTCCAAAGGCAGCAAGAGAAAAACAAAGAGTCATATACAGGGGAATCCCCTTTTTGCTATCCTCTGATTTTTCTGCAGAAACTTTGCAGGCCAGAAGGGAGCAGCATTATATTTTCAAAGTCCTAAAAGGGAAAAACCTACAACCAAGGGTACTCTATGCAGTAAGATTATCATTTAGAATAGGAGAGATAAAGAGCTTCTCAAACAAGGAAAAACTATAAGAATTCATCAATATTAAACCTACTCTAAAAGAAATGTTGAAAGGTCTCTAAATGGAAAAGAAGTAAGAATCTAGAGGAAAGAGAAAATTCCACTAGGAAAGGCAGGTATATAGTAAGGATTGAAGATTACTTAAATAAACCACTGTGCATATTAAAAGACAAAATATTGTAAGAGCAACTACAACTACAATTACCAGCAAAAGGATAAGCATGAAGATGTAAAATATGACATCAAAAACACAAAATGTTGGGGAGGGGAGTAAAAAATGGAGATCTTTTAGAATGTGTTTGAACTTAAATGAATACAAGTTTAAAACAAGTAGATATAATCATGGGTCAATATTATTTCTATGGTAACCACAAATCAGAAAGCTACAGTAGATAAAGAGAAATCAAAAAGAAATGTACCCAAATACACTACTAAAGAAAATCATCAAACCACAATGGTAGAAACAAAAAGAAGAAGAAATCAACAGAGAACAACTACAAAAAACAACTGGAAAAAAGTAATAAAATGGCATAAGTACATACCTACAATAATTACTTTATGTGTCAATGGACTAAATGCTCCAGCCAAAAGACAGCGTGGATGACTGGATTAAAAAAGACTCTTCAATATGCTGCCTATCTGAGGCTCACTTCAGGGCTAAAGACACACACAAAACTCAAAAACTGAAAGT